GTGACTTCCCCAAGGTCACGTGACCTCCCCAAGGTCACGTGACCCCCCGAAGTCACGTGGCCCCCCTTCCCCCCAAACTCACGTGACACCCCCCCCCCGGAGGTCACGTGCCCCCTCCCCCCGAGGTCAGGTGACCCCCCCGGAGCATGTTAAAGAATGAGGGGAGGAGGAGGAGGACCGGTCTACCCTCCCCTCAGTACCCTTCCCTCCTCCTCCTCAAGAGCTGCGCTCCAATTCGGCGTTGCAGGGTAACACAAGGTAAACGACTTTCACTTTTTTCTTAAAGGCCGGCCCGCAAGCAGAGAGAAGGAACCCGACCCTCACTTTCCTTCTCGCCACTGTGAGAGGAGGAAATCGCCTCTCGTTTCCTCCTCGCCATTTCGCGTTTTTTTTTTGTTTTTTTTTTGCCGGCTGCCTGTTTCTTTTTTTTTCCTTTTTTTCCAAGTTTGGGGTGGAGGAAATGAAAGCTTCAAGGATTTGAAAAGATTATCCAGAAGCCAGCCGGCACACCTGCGACAAGGAGCTGAACCAACCGAGGAGCTGTTTTGAGCGAGCTTGGCACTTGCCCTTCCCAACGAGTTGCATTGGCTCTTTTTTAGCATTGGTTTGGAGGACGATTCTTGCTCTTGTGAGAGCATAAATACCTTGTTCTGCTCAAAGATGTAGTCATTAAAGTATCAATTTTCATATAAATATCTGATTTGGCATTTTTCGTTGTTTAGGCGGATTCATGGCGACAACGGGAGGTACGAGCGGCGTTTTCTGTATATCAAGGATGGCGCTCCATAGACCAGTGGTCCTGAATCATTATGGTTCGTAAACCGGCAGAGGTGACGGAGGATCCCATCCGTAGTGGGTCTAGCACTTTTCGGTGTAGAGCGTTTTTCTGTAGGGAATTTCGGTGCGGACTTTTTGGTGCACAGACATTTCAGTGTACGGACTTTTTGCTGCAAAGACTTTTCGGTGTGGGACTTTTCGGTGCGCGGATATTTCGGTGCACGGACATTTTGATGCATGGACATTCGACGCTATGGTTTGCTCGCCGGTATCTTTTTTCCAACGTACGGAGACACGCTTCACACGGTGTTTGCGCTTTGAGTTGATAGAGATAGTCTCCTCTATAAGGTTTTGGCTTTATTATTGGTCCTGCGTGTAGGAAAGGAGCCATACGGCAAGACGTCTGAAGTTGTCTGTGTATTCAGAACAATCTTGAATATCTTCAAATGCGCCTCCTCCGCGTAATCGCATAGTTCCGATTGTTAATAGTAAATTGTGATGACCTCGCACAACAAAAAAACAATGTAATTATCACTTGCAACTCATTTGGGAATAAAGTAGGCGTGTGCGGGTACAGAATAAGTGTAATCAAATCAAATATCGATTTGAATCAAGTAAACAAGCCGAATTTGGTGAATGCTAAGTCTATTTTATTTGGTATCAAATATTTGCTCATTCTCGTGCGAAAAAAAAAAAACAGCGACCACAGATCATACACAGCGTATGATCTGTGGTCAACGTCTCCTCCCATGCCGTAATGATGTCGCCGGACGCAAAGAACTGCCTTACAATCGCGCTTATACAGGGCGATTTTTTTTAACGACTAGACATTTTTCTAAAAAAGACGTCAGAGTTATGCAATTGCGGTTTGTGCCTTATCTGTAGTCATCAAAAACACCAAATAATTTGTTTCTAAAGAGATGTAGTGCACGTGAAGTGGCTCACGGCGTCCTAAAACGCCTAATTTGGACGCGAATCGTGTTACCGCAATCTTTTCGGCCGCCGCACTCCTCGCCCCTTCTACAGTGGCGTTGTCACAGCGATGCGCATGATTTATCACTTTGGCTTCATGGCGTAAGGCTGTGCCACGCGGAGATGGAGCCCACATAAAATCATAACTATATTTTCGCGCCCAAATTAGGAGGACGCCGTATCAGGACGCCGTATAATAATGTACGCGCGTTACATCTTTTTAAGAATGGACGGTTCGGTAGCATTCGATTATGGCCAACAACTTTCTAAATACACGATGCCGTTTTCTTTTCTAATTGAAAGGTTAATTAGCGAATTTTAGGCAATCGGTTGGTTTAGTTGCGTTCGTTCTTGAACCTAATCCTCGCCTGGCCGTATATAGCTCACCTACACAAACCGCAACGCCGCTAATTTTCACTGCACAATTTGGTGGATTACGATTATGCCCAACAACTTTATAAATCAACTATCCTGTTTTCTTTTATAATCAAAAAGTTCATTAACAAATGTTAGGTAATCAATCGGTTTTTGTTCCGTTCTTTCTTGAACCCAATCTTCGCCTGGCCGTATAGCTCACATCCACAAGAGGTTAATTTGCACGTTTTTTTCTAAAATCTAGTAAGTAAAAAAAAAAAAAAGAAAAAAAAAACGTATATGAAACAGGGGGCAGTTCTTTTGCTGATATAAATAAAGCGTGGGGCACGGGTCTTGAATGCATCTTTTTTTTTTTCGGCCTATGAAAACAAATCCCGGGACATTCGAAACTGAGTTTATGATGGGGTGGGCGCTTTATCACGGGGTATTTTGTCATGTTTCATAAGCTTTATTACTGGTCAGAAGAAAGCCACGCGAGCCGTATCACGTTGCAAACAGCTAATTTGGGTATTTCTCAAGGAGCTCTAGAACTTTCCAATTGACATTTCGGTTCTTAATACATTTAAAAAAGTTTGGTACTTAGTCCTAAACATTTAATTTATTAGGCATAATTAAGAATACTGCAACTCACGCAAGACGCCTGCCCAAAACATAAAGTTGGTTTCATTGGCGCAAAGTGGCTGCGCCCTAATTTCGCGTTACAGAGATTTGTAAGCGTCTTTCATTTTTATGCTTGGTCTTTAAAGATATGTGAAAAGCATTCGCGACCTTGACTGTCAAGCCGCGTCCGCGGACAGCGCGGCCTCCTCGGAAAGTTGCTCCCTCATCGACGACGACAATGAATAAAAGGTAGGATCAAAATCTTAATGCCTGAAGAAAGCGCAGGTTTAAAACAATTTTAAGAGTGTCAGTTGATTTTATTTCTACTATATTCAAATTTCAACACTCGTCGCGGGCAGCATGAAAGGAAGCACTGCACTCTTGGCGCAAACCAGTGCCCAGTCAACGGTCCTACACTCAAGCACGCATCACCACCCGACCTGTTTTAAAAATAAATAATTTCCAGTACTTTTGGTAGAAAGGCGAATTTTCTACTGAGCGTGATATCTTGTGGACCCAAAAGTCATGTAGCCGAAATCGGTGGTTGACAGCTTCAGGAAGACGAAGAGCGACGGATGCATTATTTCCCACGGAAGTACTGTTTTGACGTTGAATTCCACATAAAATTGTATGTGGACAAATTGTTTCACCATACCGAACTTGCTTGATTATTTTTCTTTTAGAGACAACATAACCAGGCATATTCTACAGATATTGCAGAATTTGTTTTAATTGGTGTACAGCGCGAAAGACAAGTATGGACATAAAGAACACATAAGAGCTCTGCATTTCCACTGCATTTCGTTCTGTACTTGTGGAAAGTTAGTCAGCATAACTATATTCAAAAATTGCTAAATCGTTTAAGCCTACCCCTTTTTATAGTTTTTTTTTTTTTTTCATTGATGAATTGTGGCGAATCCCGGCTGGGTTCGGGTAAAGATCTCGCACGTGTTCAAGGACACATTTCGGCATGATTTCCCGCTTGGTGACGACGTTGAGCTGGCCGCTAACGCCAGACGCCTAAATTAGCCAAGCAGCCCGAAAACTTGCGGTAGTACACCTTCCGAACTCCTGGCGTTTTTTGGAGGTGGCCGCTGGCCTTCGCCCACCCTGACAGAGCCCCGAACAATTATGATGAAAGGGCTGCAGAGTTTATCTGGGCATTCCATTTCTTAATCAGCGAACAAATGGGAAGGGAAGAGAATGGAAGCTTCGTAATACCTGCTGTCTTTTAATAAATGGCATAATATGCTACCATTGCTAGTTGCACTATTTTACGCGAAGAAAATTGTAATTTTGCGGTTCAATCTCCATGTTTCCCGTTCTCTTTGCTGATACGCAAGATATTTGTCGGCTGTCGAGTGTTCAGTTACATTTGCTGACAGAAACTAAATGCACGTTTGGCCACGAAGACGTTTTTTTCAAAGGCTGAAGATAGATTAAATATACCATAAACCGTTCCACTTTTTATGGAAGTTTGTTTTTACTCTTCTTTGTAGCTTCAACCTGGCAGCCGTCACTCTAGAAAACACCTGTAGTACGAACCTTTATATTATGCCCCAGAAGTGGTCAGACTGTGTCCCTCTGACTGCAATGTCTTTGACTTGTAATTACTCATGATTATTACTTTGTACAAAAAAAAACACAATAGTGATACAATCACTCTTCAGAGTGCCGTTGTTAGACGACCAATTTTCAACTCTCTGGGTAGAGCTCAAAGTTCAGATAAAAATACCCATCTTCTTTCCTTCTGCTGTGATGTTCAAGTTCCGTTCACTGGAGATAAATATGCGGTGTTGTAGCGTGTGGCCGCATGCGGAAGTATCTGAATGTAAAAGAACTTAGGAAAAACGAGCCAGCCCGAACCCTTCCAAGCTCATATCCAGCCCGCCTAACTAATCCCTGGTGTTTGGGATTCAAGCAGAAAACCTTGAAGGGTTACAGAGATTTTGTCGGGGGGCCGGTAAGCCCATTAGCACTCGTGCGAGAAGGCCGTAAAAAGCGAGGAGGAAAATGGAGGAGGAAAGGGGAGGAGGAAAAAAAGAAAAGAGGGGGAATCTTCTGCCACGCTGAAGAAAATTTTGAGCGCCCGCCTTTAAGGTAAGATATGTTTTTTATTAGATGAACGCAAAGCTAATCAAGAGAGCACTCAATAGCATTAGCTTTTTCTAAGTTCTAGGTTTACGTATGGTGTGCAGTAGACAATCATACAAGATATCAGTTAAAATATTCAGGCAAAAACTAATGATGATCTAACGGAAAATAAATAGACCTACCGTAAGGCCTTGTCCTTCAATATAATCCACTATTTGCGGGTACCAACACCCCTCAGCATCCGTTGCATTTATGTAAGAGTCTGGGGGCAACTGAATCTTGGTTTCTTCATTTCCCTTTGTTGATGAAGTTAAACCAGATTCTTGATAGGGGAAAAAAAGCATTTCAAAATTAAGAACACGATCGGCATTCACGCTCAGGTTTGAATATTCAATAATTGTGTGCATGTTCATGTTTACAGAGCCTGAAGTTATCCTGCCTCAACTCGCGACTTTTCTCTCAGCTATAGATGAGCAATTTAACCAATGCAGTACAACAGCTAGCCTGGGGTCTTTAAATGCATGCACGACGCAGTAGTGACACACGACCGCACGCCGATACGACGCTCATCTAGATCAAAACAGGCAGGGGTGGGGATTGAACCCAGTGCACATTCAATATGGAGTACGAGTTAAGTTTTTTGTTATTACCTTAGCAGCACGTCATAATTATTTATGTACAAACAACAGCGACAACGACAACAACAGCAGCAGCAATAGAAATAACAATAACAATAACAATAATAATAATAATATTAATAACGCTTTTCACAAACCAATCAATCAATCCTGTTTTCATAGCGTGTACTAATACAGCTGTTAGGTCTGAATAAGGGTACACTCACTCAAGTTCAATAATAACGAAAAAAGATGTCACAAGCTAGTTAGCACACTTGAGAAAGTTTTTTTTTAACAACGAAAAAGCAAAGAAATGAAGGCATGCATTGCCAGACTTATTAAACGTGTGCTGAATCTTTGACATGGGGTATTGCAAGACACATTAAAATAATAAAAAAGTCGGTTTAATGTTAAGGAACCTAGAATAAACTTTTACTATGTATGAAAGGAAAATCAATTGCAGCATTAGTTAATTTGTAAAGACCACCATGGTCATTAACTAATCGCCTTGCAAAAAAAGGCGAGTGTCTAAAACTCTAAACGTTTCCAGAAGACGTGACATCTACAAAGACTAGACTGATCGCTTACAAAACCCTGATTTTTTCCTTGCTTGAATATGCGTCGGAAGTATGGGACCCGCGCATAAAAAGCCTAATCCTTGGCCTAGAAATTGTACAGCGACTGGCCCTGCGTTTTATTTCTTCTAGATATCGCAGGTTAGATTCGCCGACAGAGCTGTATGCGCTGTGTAACAAACACTCGTAACAAACATTCGTGTCGCTTACAAGAGTTTTCGTTCTATAAAGATTGTTTTAAGTACTCCTTCTTTCCTCGTACGGTGCGGGACTGGAATCTGTTGCCACAACATGTTGTTTCTTCCATCGATCTTTAATTATTCCTTTTCCAGCTGGACGCAACCTAACTATTGTATATTCTTGATTTGCATTGTTTTTTGGTGATCCTTGCATTGTGCTTCGTTGCCGTGTTGCTTTACCCGTTGCTTTTACAAGTGTAACTCCTAATCAGGACTGACAGTCTGTCAGTTTAATAAGGTGTACCACACGGCTATCAAGCCCCTCGTAAGATTTGGGACCGTCTGTTCGACTATAGGGCGCTGTACGTCGAACTAAAGTTTTGGGGTACGTAATATATGAAACAAAGGGTGTAAAAATGCACCCTTTTTTCTGCCAATGTAATTTACATTGCAAAAGAAAATATTGTGCACTCACCGATTTCCGCAAAGAAGACGACGAGTATGGCCTTTACCAACATCATTTTAATAGATGCGGATATAAAGTTAGGTTCAATAATAGTATGCGGAAGACTCGAAGCTCTCCGCTGCTCCTCTGAAACACCCTCGCTGGGCTACGGCAGCTTTAGTACAACCGCGGCTGCGAACACAAACAATGTGCTTTCTGATCCTCTATATTTCTATAATATTCACGCTTATATACTTCCGTTTGCAAAAACTAAGCATAACAATTTTTTTTTTTTTTTTTTTTGCAGTTGCTTACGGGTTTGTTTAGATAAGGACGGTTGTGGGGCTGCAATGCCACAACTGGAAACCGCGCACAAATAACGAAGACGAGGAAGGTGGACGGGGCAAGCGCTGGTGCCGTTTTTTTGCCCATACTTTTTGCATGAGGTGATGAAGTATGAGAACGGACCTTGCTTTTGCAAAATGCTACCTTTTTTTGGTTAAAAAATAAAATCGCGTATAAAGTAGATGGAACTACGATTTTCCCTATTGCGTGTCGTGGCAAATTTTGAGGGCCCCATCAGGATTAAAAAAATACAATTTTCTATTCGCGACTCCAGCGACCTATAGGGGGCGCCACCACCAAACAAACATGGCGGCTGAGTCCAGGTCGCGTTGGCTCGGCCGGGCCGCCTGAACGGGTGGCGCATTGAATTTAACAGGTTTTCTTTTCTTTAATGCCCAATTTTATAGGTATCTGAAATGCGACAGTTAAGTGTAGCCGGTGCAAATAAACTTGCAGAGCATAGTTTTGTTTTCCCCGTGTTTTTTGTTCTTTTCATATCAAACTTTCGTATCAGAGATTTTGTTCAAAACCGAAACTATGGGCTCCGGAGAGACGGCAATAGACTCTAATCAGTTTTAATCAGCTAAGGAAAGCGGCGATGCCTACAAAATTGTTCCACCGAGAGTAATCTTCAGCTAACTCAGATGCCTCGACCATGCGACTTATCTGTCCGCAAAATCGAGCTTTTGTGCGTATCCGCGTTTAAGAAACTGCTCCAGTCGTCTGCTCGGTCAACAACACAGGCTGCAGGAAAATCGCAAAAATTAAGCAAGCGCTTCTTGAGTCAAAGAGCGTGTTAACCCGCTGGCGCCCCACTAAGCAGCTGATACTCGTAATTCAATTCATGTCTTAGTAGCAATCGAGAAGTTATTTTGATGAATATACGGGCATTGTATTATATTACTTACTATGGGCCCCACTAAAGCAATATTAGTATATTCTTCGGGTTTAAATATGGGCTTAATTTACTAGCTATGAAGTGAACTGCTGAATAGAAGTATATTTGACACACAGAGAGATACTACTTAAACTCAGCCAACTGGTAGTAGCCGGTAGCACGGAGACGAATTCGGACAAACTGAAGAGAACCTTCATCGGAGATTTACGCAGAACCTCTCTGCAGTGAACTTGACTTTGAGTACTGGACGGAGAAAATTAGTAGTTTTTGTGGCCGGTCAACCTGAACTATGTAAACGTATATCGCAACTGGCTTCGAAGGGGGTATAATATAAATATTGGAGGCGCGATAGGTCATAATGCCGTGACAGCTCCTAACTTTGCGAGACGCGTCCCCCACTTTTTTAGAGCAAGCAATTTCCCTCATTAATCGTATGCAGCGAGCAGGTTTTCCGGAATCAAGTAATTGCAAAAACAGTCCAACTCCTTCGTTGTGGTCCAGAGGCTTTCTCGGCGAAAAACAGCCAAAAGCACCGACCGGCGTGGGTGCCTCAGACTTGAAGCTAATCGAACGCAGCCAAACTCAAGAAAAGCAGCTATCGAACCTTCCCTTTACTTGACTGTAACGTTAGTATTCCCTCCAGTGAAACACCCCGTCTGTCGTCCCCAGTCCACTGTTCTGCATCCTTATAAAGAGAGCACTTATCAATTACCAAGTAGTCGTAACTTTGAATGTGATTCGAGACAGACAAGAAACCAAAACGTTTTTCCGTGATTCCTCCCCATCCAAGAAATCGAAAGCACGCGACCGTGTGTTGTGGAGTAAACGGGCTTTCAAACACGTGATGGAAGGAAAAAATCTGCTGAGGCTTCACCAGACTAATGAAAAATCAGGCAAACTTAAAAAATTTTCGGACCTTCGTCAAATTACATTGTTCGCCACCGCGCCGACAACACGTATCCGCGAAAGCCAGAGACGCGGAGGGGCGCGGGGCGACCTGGTCCGGCTGGTTCCGGGTTTTCCCGCTTGGTGGCGTCCGTTTTGCTGGAGTCGCGAATAACATAAATATTTGTACATAAAAAGCAGGCAAACTGGTATATTTAGATTAGTTAAATTTATTTTATTTAAGTTTTTATTTAAACTAGATAGAATGAAATAATTAGCCTCTCGCGCGACTCTCATATGCAAGCATTTTTCGGGGATCTTTTAACACATCTTAGAATTAGGTTTCTAATGTTAAACGTTTTGTACACCAAATTTTATGCTTTATTCACTTTTAAAATTGAAGTGGGCGCTCAATTATTGTAAGTATTTTCTGCATTGCTCCCAGATATTTTCTAAATATTGAAAAAGACAGAATTATACAAATTTGAAAGGCAATTAAAAAACAATAATCGCAGTCGATTTTTTTTTTTGTAGGCATCGCTCGATGAACCTTTGAAAACACGTAAATCGGAAACCGCAAGAGATGTTGCACAATATTCGTTCATATTAGAAAAAAAAACACACATTTAGTTAGGTCTGTGTTGCAGTCAATTACCGTTGAAATGTTTCTGACTCAACGACCAGTGGCACTCGAGCACCGCATCCACAGTGGTCGTACTTGGTTGCATTATCGTTCAGACACCATGGAGCATTGACCAAAAAACCTGCGACGTTTTGTTTATTAATAATGTGGCTAATTTTTTTTTTTAATGGAAATTGAGTTTTTTTTGCGCGTTTGGTTCGGTGTTGTACTCTGTTGATTGCGCTGCACTGCGCTACTTTCCCAGAATCGTACTTTAATGTTAGTAGTCTACTGGGAAGAAATTGTTCGATTAATTTTTTTAGACATCAAGCTACTTCGTTTTTATTTACAATAAACTGTAGCGGACGCTACGGGCCACCTCAGTCAATTGAACGTAAAGTGACGCGTCACGGCGCCTCCCTCGAAGGTCAGGTGACACTCTTTACTTGTAGGTTCGTAGCGTCCTCTGCGGTCCATCATAAGGTAAAACGAACCATAGGAACAGGCGATGTCAGGGAATTTTATGCTCCGACCGATGGCTAGCATGGCGATAGAAAACTAAAAACAGGTTGTGTCTAAAGCGAGTAAAAAAAAAAGAGGAACGAAGTGGAAAGTTATGTAGCACCATTAGACCAATGTTCTACCCCCGTGCGATTGATGTTCCTGGTGTTGGTAACACCACTGCACATCGGGTGATATTTACACTAGGAAGCTGAAGGCTGGAAACACCTAATGCTATATATGTTGTTGGGTCGAACAGTGGGTAAACGGTCGACATTTTTAATTCACTTTACATTATACGTGTCATCGCCCAATTTATAGCGTACACAAAACGAAATTGCATAAAAATATATATTTGGACACGGAAAGCCGTAGATCATGAAGGGCTAGGTGGTTACCCGTATTTACATGCACTACTGGTGTGATCTTGTTTGATAGCAAATAACTTAACTAATAACATTAGAACAGTTGAGAACAGAGCACCCAAAAACTTTCCGTAAGCAAACAATAGCCTTGTCACCACTGCGCATGCGCCAAGCCCAAACCACGTTTTACATTGGCGCATACCCACGGCACTATTTCTTTACACAAGCACAAATGTGTGTACTGTACTCTAAAACTTGCGATTAAAAGAAGAGCATTAATTATGAGAAACAATGTCTGGGTGCAGGTCAATTTTTCTATATATCACTACCTGTTCATTACGTCGCCTACTTGTCATAAAAAACTCTCAAACCTTGAGCGATTGTTTTCGAACATTCAGATATTGGCACGCAAGCCTGTGATCAATATCGAAAAACAAAATTTTCTAACACTGATTAAAACAATTCTTTCTTTTTTCAGCTTTCTGTCATTTACGGTTTTTACATTCGTTTCTATTCCCATGCTGCACATATGATTGAAGGAGACACAGCAGTTCTGTAGAACCCCTTTTTAAGGCTACACAGAGCTTTCCTGCCTAATCTATAAACATGACCCGATGTGCATTGACGTTACAAACACTAGAGGCATCACTTGCGCGGTGGCGCACCACTGGTTCAATGACGCTGCCTAGCTTTCCACTTCCTCGGTCCTTTTTTCCCCCTTTTTAAACAAAACTTGTTTTGGGTGTTTTTGTTTGTTTTTTTGCCCTCGTCATGCCCGTTATCGGTCAAAGTATAAGATTCCTATAAGTCGCCTGTTCCTATGATTCATTTGACCTTACGGTGTGGACCACAGAGAACGCTAGGAGCCATCCAAATCAATTGAGTGCTGAGTGACTGTCATGTGACCTTCGAAAGGGGCGCAGTGACGCGTTGTCACTTGATAGGTTGAGTTGAATGACACGGCGCGTAAGGTCCGGTACAGTCCATCGGAATTGGAAACGGAGTATAGTGATGTCTAGAGAAACGAATCAAACAATTTTGTCTGCAGACTACCTACATAAAAGAAAACCTTGGAAAATAGCGCAGTGAAGCTCAATCAACCAAATACAACTAGGGATTGAACTCGCCGCAGATTTTAGTATTCGTAGGCAATATCAACCAGATGACTTATAAAAAAGAGCTCACATGTTTTTTGTTTTTTTTGTTTTTTTTATCTGGCGATTAAGTACGGCTATTGTCGATGTGCTGCTCGAGTATCATTAGTGTTGAGAGAGACCCCTCAACGGTAATTGACTGTGACACAAACCTGGCTAAACCTTCTTGTTTTTGTTTTTTACTTGAAACCAATATAGCGCAACATGTCTTTGCGGACTTTAAATTACAGGTTTTGAAGGGTTCATCGACAGAATTATCGAGGATGATATTTTTTTTAATTGCTAAACATAAATATATTTTTTTAA